TCGTATATTTTCGGATTGTGATGAAGAATGAGGGCGAAAGCCCGTGAGCCGATTTCACATAGATGGGATAGGTCAGGTTTCTTCCCATGCCAAACTTCAAATGGTGTTTTGCCAAGGGTACGCGTCGGAGTGCGGGCAGATAGGTACCCAGCTGTCATAGCAAATTCATCCCACCTGTTGGGGGGAACGCTTGGCGTTGATGCACGCATAGCACGCATTCTGTTCATGACAGTAAGATGCATGTGTTCAGCGCGTCCGTTATGGGCGGAAGTGTATGGTGCAGTGACCTGTAGTGTGTAACCATTAGCATCACACCAAGCATTCATCGCGTCCGATTTGAGTTCTCCACCATCAATACAAATGATGCCAATTCGTTCCCCACTCTCTGACTCAGCTCGACGCGCCCATGATTGAAGGAAAGGTAACACGTCGGATTTTAATTTAAGACAAAAGGTCCATGGGTGGCTAGAATGATCATCCACAATGTTCATAACATATTGGTTGCCACTCGCTGATTTTACGGCTTCTGGACCAGTAAGGTCCACGTAAATTATCCCTAACTTCCTATTCGACCTCTCTCCCTGACGAATCTTTGGTACTGGGGTGCGACCCTGTTTACCGTGGATACAACTGTCACATTTGGGAGGGGATCGAGATAGGTTGATAAGCATACCTTGAGCGAGTTGCTTGGTAGCTAAGTCAAGGATGGACTGGTTGGATGCATGCCCCATTCGTCGATGCCAGGTGTCAAGATCAGCCATTACGAATGCGTGTTCTGCTGACAGTCGAGTGCAATTGAGGCTATATAGTTTACGTGTCAGGAGTCGAGTACCAGTAGCGAAGAGAGAACCAGAACAATTTTTGAGAGTAACCGTGGTAGTGTCGAAGGTGACGGAACATTGAAGAGATTCGGTAATGCAACCGATCGATATGAGACGAACTGTGGAAGCTGGAATGAAGAGGACATTTTCAAGTAAGATATGAGATCCTTTTGCAATGATTAATTTGATTGTGCCAATTCCGAGAGCATTGATTGAAGATCCGCCAACGCCGGTAACAGTCCTATCGGTAATTGGGTGTAGCGTCATGAAGTCGGAGCGATCGGGTGAGATATGGGTCGTACAGGCGCTATCGAGTAAAAATGGCGATGTATCCAAAGAAAGGACTGTACGTCGGGAAGAGGCTGGAAGGGGTGCTGCCGTGACTGCTGCGAGACCTAGATCTTCAGTGTTTCTCCTCCTCTCGTGCCAGTCAACGGAAGCATGGAGAGAATCTTGAGTGGCGAGCCATGAAAGTTCGGCTATATGCGCATATTCCGCAATATCAGCAGCACACATCGAGTCCAAGACAAGTGGATCGATCAAGTTGATGTCGTCCGTATGAAGGAAGTGAGCGGAATCGGGGACAGTAGACATAGCAGCAGAGGACAAAGACGAACTGATGATTTCGTGAGCCTTACCATCGGCATCAACGATATAAGCCTGATTGCCAGATTGAATGATGCTGCCAGCTGGTTTTGACATCTTCTCCTTGGACTTCTTGCCTCGTTTAGCCTCACGCGCCGCTTGTGCTTCAGCAATGGTTTTGCCGGCCATTCCACCCCCAGGTTGAATGCAAAACTCTGAGGTGTGTCGTGGTTTCTTGCAATTCGAACAGATGGTTTGCTTGGAATCTGAGGAGCATGATCCGCGGGCAACGTGAGCTTCAGCCGGCACTGATACAGTCCGAGCGATAGTCATAGAACGAGCCTGTTGTTCGTAGTCGAGACGATCGACAATATGTGCCGACGTATATGCGCGGTCGGCAGTGGAAGATGACAAGCCGGTGACAATGGAGTCACGGACAGGAGATAGAGAGTCGTCGGCGGATAACACCAGTAGCATAAGAATGCAGAGGAAACCCTCAGATGTAGGTGCGCCCATATCCCAGATTCGTCGATTGAGATTGCGTAAAACGAGAGTGGTCTCGGCGAAGGGGACTGAGGACGAATAGCGTACCGAGAGAGCTTCTTGTATTAAGGTGACTTGGGTCATGGGACCTTGATGAACATGGCGTTTCTTCAGGATACTCCAGATGTCCTCGGCCGTTGTGCAGTTTTCGATAAACTGATGTTCGGATGACGCGCACTTCAGAAAGATGAACGCCTGAATGGCGGCGTTGTTCAATTTCCAATGGCGGTGGGCGCGAGGTTCATAATGAGGGTCAGGAGCTGGAAGGGAACCGTCAAGGTATTGGTCTAGACCAGATGAAAGCTGGAGGATACGTATGACGTGTCGGTTCCAAGCTGCATAGTTATTCATATTCTTGTCAAGAACTGCCACATCACCCCAGCTAGATTCCTTGACACTCTGAATAGGAATGGAAGGATGCGACGTGTCGCTGGCGAGGGGGGTGTTGGGCAAAGGAGACAACAAAGAGATTGGGCGAGAAGATGCAGGGGTCGACACAGGGTCGCTAGAAGAAGACTCGCCTACAGTCATCGTTAATCAAGGGTTGAAGTTGGTCGACAAGTACAGCGGGGTGCCTAGAAACCAAATAGGCCCATAACCTGTTGGAAAAGGACTAGTATACCCTCAGCCGATGGAAGAGCGACTAGATATCATTGGTAACCTACCTAGTATACCCTATGAGTAGTACTCGAGTTAGTCCCAATGATATAGTAAAGGCGGGATCCGTTACTCACCTCAGCCGATGGAAGAGCGACTGAGGAAAGGAACGAACCCCTGTACAGTAGATATAGTAGTGGTTACGTAATGTGATCATCCTCGATCACGATCTCGGATGCAGGCTTCAACATTCATATCCACAGAACGATCGCCTTCCTGCCATGCCATTGGCGGCAGCTTGCCTTGATTTCATCCTTCTTTATACCATCATCTTCATCATCACCTCCCTCTTCTGTGCGTTCATCTATGTGACGGGTCGGTATATCTACGACATATTATACCCTGAAACCCGCCGGACTGCCAACGATGACGAAGGCGTAACGAAAAGTCACAAAGGCTTCATTGACCGCCCGACACTACACGACGGTCTATCTGATCATGGACGCCATAG